TAAATTAAACCTTTGTTGCAGTCGAAGTTTGAGTCTCTTCATTAATCTCTTAATTCACCAAAACACCTTCACTGCCCCTTGCTGGGATGAACAGGTGCTCAGGAAATCTTAAACAGCTATTCACGGTGGATTTCAGTGTGGTTAAATGGCCAGGGTGCTTATTCTGACTGATGGCGACACCCCTGAGTGTGTTGGGACAGTATGGGCGAGAGGCTCCCTGCCTCCCTCTTTTCGGAGACTCACCACCAGTGCTGTGCCCTCGTCGGCCACAGGGGGCGTCGTCGGGACAGTGGGGGCCGCCTCCGACAGGCACCGGGCAGCGCAGACGGACAGGCAGACGGACAGCAGGCTGTGCGGACGGAGCCCGGCCCATCCCCACGCCTCTCTCCGGGGCTGCATGCGGACCCCTGGCGCTCCAGGTGCCGACCGGGGATTCCTCATTCCTGCAGAGCGGATGTCCAGTCTCAGTGCTTGGGAACGCGGGAGTTGCGTTGGCCCTCTGGTGCTCTGATCCTTCGGAGCCCAGCAGTACAGGTGTAAGTCAGTGCCGATTTATTGATTGATTGATTGATTGATTGGCTGCTATGGTAAGAAGGTGCACTGAAACAGGTTCTGTCCACCATATGCTAGTTTCATATGTGATACAGCAGACACACTATCCTTTTAACTAACCCATCTCTCTTCCCTTTTCATCTACCATTAATACATTTCTTTCTCTCTTTTAATCTTTCAAGGTCAGCAGCCAAGCAAGAGGTCCTCAGTTAACAATAGTAGTTTCGTCTTCTTCTTCACCACTGTGGGATTGATTTGTTGACTCTGTGAAACAATGGACATGGAACAAAGAGAGAGGGCTCAATAGAGTACAGACACACTGAATGTCTTGCAGCGCAGCAGGGCAGTTTCTGCTTCTCCCTGCTGGCAGAAGATGTGAGTGGGGTAGTGTTGCTCAGCTTGTGCTGTGGTTTGGTTGACTCAGTTTTGTGCTTTTGTAGCACAGTTTTGTGCTGTCTGGAGGATGTTGATGTCAGTGTGGTTCAAGGACCGGCTGGCTGAGGGGGCTCTTCTCTGGGCACAGTGCCTTGTCATTCAGAGAGCCATCGTGTCAGTCTTGATATCAGTGGGTCAGTCAGAGTGCCAGTGTGTC